CCCCCCCCCCCGCCCCCCAGAGCTTGCTGAGAGGAACGAAAACAGCCCTATTACCCACAGTCATCACCTAGCAAACAAGCTATTATGAAGAGATTACTGGGGATAGGGGGAGGGAAAGGGGAAAGCCATTATTCTCTCAGCAGGAGGTAATTCCCTTCCCATCCCTTCCCATGAGGTAATTCTCTCACCTCCAGAATTTAAATGAAGGCGCTGGGGGTTCCAAGAATACCAACCTAGAGCTTAGAGTGCCAACAGGGGGAGAGACTGGCAGCTCGCTCCCCAGAGGGACTCGATGACCCACAGAACCTCAGAAATATTCCCCTTCGCTGCCGCCAGGGCTGATGATGGTGAGGGATTTCTTAGAAAAGCTGGTTACTCCATGTCATCTTGAGAGAGAGCTGAGAAGGGAGGCTTGGAGAGATAATCCAAGGCTGGAGGACAGGAATGAGCCTTAGCGTGGTGAGTGTGGAAGGGAATGGTGGCCAAACCCATCCAAGCTCCCCTTGGTCCTTTGAGAGTGCCAGAGAGGACCTCGGCAGCTTCCTGGCTCCACGTGAAGGGGCAGAGGGGTTATAGAAGGAGGCAGAAACCATGGAAGACTCTAGGTTAAATAAGGTAATACTTCACCAGAGCGGGTATAGAACCACACGCAGGGCCAAAGGAGCAGGGACAGAGAGAGCTGACTGAAGGTGGCTTCCTCATGAAAATACATCTTAAGAGCAGAGCACAGCAGGAAAATAGGAACCTCACAGGCCAGGAAAAGACTAGTAGTGCCTCAGCACCACCCAAGCAGCAGTTATACAGGAAGAGCTCTGCCTCTTCTGTTCCCCTTTGACCCCTCAACCTCAGAGGGGTCAGATATTGAGAAGACAGGGAGGGGAAGTATACAAAACAAGACCATGTTCCTCGTGCCACCCCAGGGGTTGGAGAAGGAAGACTGGTAAATTCTCTCCAAGTCCCTTGGAGTCTAGTGAGGGAAGGGTTTAGATTGCATATGGGATTGGAACTTCAAAGTGGACTGGACCTTTTATAGCCAAAGTGGCCAGAAATGTGGAGAATCTGCCCATGATACCATTAAAGGGCAAGAAAGGAAAATCAACAAAGATAGTCATTGGAAATGTAAAATTGTCGTTCCCAGATCACATCTTGCTATCACCACTAGAAAAAGGGGCAGTTTCAACTGATCATTTAAATAGTTATGATTAAAATAAATTTTACAGAGTGGATTTTATTTATTTGCATTCATGCACTTTTCTATCTCTCTGCTTTATGTGGAGGTAGCATCCTTTTGTAGTAAAATACATCTGTGATCAAATAATTCTGTTATTTATGTATTTATTTATTTAAGTTTATTTATTTATTTGGAGAGGGAGAGAAATCACAAGCAGGGGAGGTGCCAAGAGAGAAGGAGAGAGAATTCCAAGCAGGCTCTGTGCTGTCAGCTCAGAGTCTGACACGGGGCTCAGTCACACGAATCATGAGATCATGACCTGAACTGAAATTAAGAGTCAGATGCTTAACTTACCAAGGCATCCAGTTGCCCCTAGTTCTGTCATTTAATACGATGTATGACTTTGTTCATTAATTTGTCATATTCCCTGGTTTCCTCATCTGTGAAAAGGATTAATAGTGTACGTTCATCATAGGACTTCTAATAGAATTGATTGAAAGAAGAAATGAAAAGTGTTTGTGCATAGTAGATATTCAGTAGAAGTTAGTTCCTGGTTTCCAGCAAAGATGGAGTAGCAGGAACTAGATTTACTCTTCTCTATGAAACAATGTAAAAATCAGACAAAATTCATGAAATGATTTTTTTTGTTCCATTGGACATCAGACAGATAGGATTGCAGTCCCTGAGAGAGCAGAAACAAGCCAGGGATCTTTATTATTGCCAAGCTTACTGCTGGAAAGAGTTTGTAGGCCACATCATAGGAATGGGCAGACAGGCAGTGGATTCCCTGAGTTGAGGAGACAGAACTAGAAGTCCAGTAAAGTAAGGCAGCTAGGATCAGCAGAGAGGAGTACCAAATTCAAGAAGCTCAATGAATCCCAAGCAAAAGAAACACGAATAGAATGACTCCAAAGTATGCAAAATCTAACTGCTAAAAAAAAAAAAAAAAAAAAAAAAAAAAAAAAAAAAAAAAAAAAAAAAAAAAAAAAAAAAGTAATAAAGAAAGAGAGAAGACAACATTTACCAATATCAGAAATAACAGAGGGGACATCACTACAGACTCGATAGATAGTAAAAAGCTATTAGAGTTTTATAAGTAAGTTTACACCAACAACCTGACAAACTAGATGAAAAAGACAACTTCCTTGAAAGACATAAAATGCCAAAGATCATTCAAAGACATTGATCAACTAAATACCCTCATACAGATGAAACAAACAGAATTTGTAGTTTAAACCTTCCTGCACAGTAAACTGGGCAATTCTACCAAACATTTGAGGAGCAACTAATACCAATTTTACAGAAACTCTCCCAGAAAATTGAAAAGGAGGCATTATTTTTATGAGGTTAGCCTAACCTGGATACCACAACCAGAAAAAGACATTACAAGAAAAATGAATACTATAGAACAACATTCTTTAAAAAAATTTTTTTAATTGTTTATTCCTTTTTTGAGAGAGAGAGAGAGAGAGAGAGACACAGAGCATGAGCAGGGGAGGGGCAGAGAGAGAGGGAGACACAGAATCTGAAGCAGGCTCCAGGCTCCGAGCTGTCAGCACAGAGCCTGATGTGGGGCTCGAACTCACGGAGTGTGAGATCCTGGCCTGAGTTGAAGTTG